CTCTTAAACTGATTTAGACTTTGAAAAGGGAACAGAGAATCTGTTGACATACGATGGTCGGTGCCTCTTAGCCGACCGTTTTGGAATTTTTTACGCGTTTTCATAGATACATTAATGTTCGAAGAAGATGCACCCATTCTTCCATTATGCTTCATATGGTCCATATTTTGTTTTAACTGCTTCATGCCGTTCTTTCGCACTACATTATAATTCATAATGCGTTATTCGTATATATCGGAGTCGACCTCATTGCAACTCAACTCGTCCTTTTACAGCGGAAGTATCGTAGATCGTGAGAACACCAGCGGCAGTTGTTGAACAATATTATGAATATCAGCATTTTTCAAGTATTGTGGTAATACGAGCGAACTGTGTAAGAGGTTGTGCGTGCAATAAAATTTTCATTCGTTGTTTTCTCCTGTTTGCATTACGCCCTTTTCGTGCACAGTTTTTACCCAGCCTCTTTCTATTATTGTGTGTTTTCTGCTATTTTCTAGGATCTCATGAGCGTCACTCACTTACTGCAGGTACCTTGGTGTTGTTTTTTAATGATAGTACAAAGGTGTTTTAGTCATGGCGACGCCTAATTTTTTTTGACATAGAACTAGTGAACGATACCGAGAATGAAGACGGATCGTTTCTAGATTTTAAGGTAATGACTGTCTTGTCTCTTTGCGCCTCACTGATACCTGTTAGTTTATTTTAAATGAATTAGGATGTTCGTCTTTTCAGACGAGCAAATGGAGGCTGCGTAATGATTCACCACACAACCGCGAGAGTAAATACAGACGATGGTCTGGTTCTCGGTTCCGGTTTGGACTCAGATTATCTATCATTTAAACGAACTGCCGCGCATAGGAGTTCTGTATTTTTCTGATGTAGTTGGCGTTAGCTAGGCGTTTTTGGAATTCATGCGGAGTGGCTTGATGGCGACGAATTCGAACCATAGTTTGCCCTGGAACGACGTACCGTATTCAGATCGTTAGCTGTTCTTTAGAATGTGGAGAAGGCGCATTCAAGTTGCGCGAAAAATTAATTCTTGAGAGAAATTCATCATGTTTCTTGCTTATTTTCTCCAACAGTTTTCTCTAAATGGATGAATCACCTTGGATGTTTTTCAACATATCTCTTAAGATCTTTCGCTTGTCATTGGTTCCCGCACATACTTTCAGAGAAAGTCAGGATCATGCATTCCTAGAGGGGAAAGAATACATGTATAGCCGTTTCCAAGTTCGCGACAGGCTTTTAAAGCTACGAGATTGTTGAGAAAATTACTCTGCGCCATATGTCACCTTGTTGTCCCATCCCTTATAAACTGTCTGAATCATCTTACATAATTTGTTATATACTCCACCATGGATGTTGCCGAGCATTTGTTGAAGAAACCTAATTGGATATAGAACTACACAGGTCCAGGTTCTAACGCTTCTTGCCGTTTGTTGTTGGATTACGGGTATACCAATCTGCAAGTCGATGGCTTTGCTGTCTTTTCCTGGGCTTACTTTCCATACCGCTCTTTTCCTGAAATTCATTCCTGTTCATCACCATAGAGTCTGAACTTCAAAAATCACAAAGCGCGGCTTGTTTGTGCACATCGCAAACAGTTTAATCAGTCGGATAATTGACCTCAT